GACAGTGTAACATCTTGGACTCGGTCCTTAAAGCGGTGAGTCATCTGTGCATATCCTGTAGCTGCTTGCAGTTAGCAAAAGTCTTCACAGTACCGCAAATCTGCTTGTGTTATGCACTGTGACTTCAGTGACAAACACTCCTTCACAGTACTTAAATGCCATTTGGTCCAACATATTTAAGATACAGCAACACTTCCAACCCTGTTTAGTGGAATGTTATCTTTTCATTTGTTGGCATCTTTTATTTCTCACAGAAATATTTGGATGTTTTAAGTTATGGAACACAGTACTAAAATAGCCTAACCTCTAAGATGGCAGTACATAAAATGAATTTTGGATGCTGTAAAGGTCTACTTTCCACTGAAAATGTATGTGAGTATTTTGTATCTTTCTCCAAATTCCAAGTAAACTTCTAATTAATTTACCAAAATCCTCTGAGAGAGAAAAAAAATCACAGATACTAGAATTTCATAAAGAAAGAGATTTTATTTCAGTTTGTTGCTTCCATGAAGGCGATTTTCTGCATAGAAAAGAGAAAAAGGTTAATTTGAAGAATAAAAATCTGATTAGATGAAACCCAGACTGTGGGCATTTATTGGAGCAGATTCAATGCTTAATTGCTACCAGGGCAAAAAAGAAAAGGAAAAAATATGATACTAACCAGAAAACAGAGCCGGCTTTATTCAGAAAGGGAAGGAATTATAATTGACTCTCAGTGATCAGTTGATAGCGCTCAGTTCAGATTGTCGTCTTGTTGAGTAGCTTTACAGGCCTGGATGAGTCTTATTTTCATGACTGAAATAAAATGGAGGAAACACATATTGGAATCATTTGTGTCACCAGACTGTTAGACAGGAGAAAAGGTTATTGTTTTTTATTATTGTTTTTACGTTTAGTAGATCATAAAACCACCCTCCATCCCCTTCATTTCGTTCTTAGCATTCTATACTCAGCAATTTCTTTTACAGTGATATGTAACGAACTGTAGCGACACAGTGAAGGTCAGATGTCTGCATGCAGTGCATGAAAATTTGCTCCTGCACCTCTTGACATCACCAGTTCCTCATAGATGCATTTGCTGGATTAAATGTAAACTCCCTGCTGCGACCTCAGAAGCGCTATTTGAAAGTATTTTGATGAATTTAAATGAGGAACATATTATATAAAAATCCCATGTATTTATATTAATATGTAATAATCATAAAAGCTAATTATTACACGCTAGCTTGCCGATCTGTACTTGTTGGGCCACTTTAGTATCTAGACAAGAATTGAGAAATGATTGTAATTCTATCGGCCTGCACTGCCTGGGACAGAATCCTGGGGTAGCCCGGGACCCCGGCCAGTACCCGCAGCTACCTCTACCTCCGCAAAATTCACATTGCTTCATATTGTCTTTTTTTCTTTGTCCAATTCTTCGTCGGCTCATTATGATTGTTTAGTGATGATGTTTCAGCGGTCTCCTGGTAAAATTTTTGCCCTGCAACATTGGCTTAATTCTTTTCTCAGTTTGAGTCAAGAGTCTCTGCATTTCAACTTAAAAAGGTTTTTTTCTATTTTATGGGATTTTTTTTTTTTTTAAATGGAAAAGTAACCTACAGTATCCCACTCAAAATGCCACAATGGTTTAAATCAGTGGCTCCGACTGTCTCCATAAGTACCATATAGTAATAAATTAAATAAAAGACATATTTTATACACCATGATCCGGGATCACTGGATCTGTACACAGGTGCCGATGGCTCAGCAGACAGTACTGTTACTTCACACCTCCAGGGCTGGGGGGGTTTATGGATCCTGCTGCTGCTCCTTGTGCGGGGGGTTTGCACATTCCCTCCTTTTTTACACACCTTTCCCCCACACTCCAAAAACTTGCAAGTTGTAGTGTGTGTGTGTGTGTGTGTGTGTGTGTGTGTGTGTGAAATAAAAGAACCTGCTGCTTTCGGCCCCGTCTCCCCCCCTTTCCATGCTGACCGCATTGCCGAGCTTAGAGGTATTTGGGTGGGACACTCAGCAGTATCTGCGGGGCCAGCATGCGCTGGTCCACAGTCTGTTTTTCAAGGTGGCCTTTGGCAGTAGGAAACGCACCCAGCCCTTTCCTTTCATTCTAACAGCCACTTCCACAAAAATACTTTCACAACTTATCACAAATGCCAGCGAGAGGGTAACAATAAATTTTGAGAAAATAACAAGGAAATGGCATTTAACTTGTGGATGGCAGTGACCTATGATGAATTGTTGACAGGTCAAACCTGCCGTATTTGCTCACTAAGTGGCACTCTGTCTATTATGTCTGTTCTGTTGCTAAGTGGCATTGTGTCTGTTCTGAGCTTTTGCTTGCTAAGAGCTATAAGAATGGCACACGAATAAGCCGTTACTAGGCGAATGTTGGGATACTTTAATATGACATGATGAACCTCCATTAATTTCAAAATAATATTCATATTGTTAAAATAAAAAAAAATAATCAAAATATTAACAGCCAGCCCGTCACAGTCAATAGTTGGACCTGGTTTATAATGAGCAAGAGCTTTGAGTCACTTATGAAGCAGCTGTTGTCTATATGTGAGTAGTTTTCTGATTTCTAAATTGCACAGCAGACATGCAGTTACCATGCTATAGGAACCCCGAAAAGTACACAGAATTATGGAAACACTAGTCACAATAAGAAGCTGCTTTTCCAATTCCTTAATAGTGCTACAGTATGTGCTAATAGTGCTGAGTGGCCTTTGATTGAGCTGTGATGAGAAAATCTAGCTGGCAGCTGAATCACTGTATGGTGGTTGTGTGAGGCGGGGTTTCCCAACCCGGTCCTCAGGGACACACATTCGGTCCATGTTTTTGCACCCTCCTGGGGACTGTTTGGCAGTGTGCTGGGAAGGAACAAAAACATGGAGCGTATGTGGCTCCCTGAGGACTGGGTTGGGAAACCCTGATGTATGCTAATATGTCTGATGCAGTATTTATTATTTTGCTGTTTCTAATCCCTTAGGTGGAGGAAAACAGCATCTCCTTAGGATACCAGAAAAGATCATTTTTATATTCATAAGACCGGATCTGAATGAGGTTTATCTGCGTTGATGCAATTAGGATGAGGAACTGGGGCAAACAAAGAATGAATCAGGCTGAAAGATGAAATGAAAAACAAAACACAAGATTGAGTGGCTCATAGGTGAAGGATTTGTGCCCATGGGATTTACAAATAGCTGAACATTTTCCGGGCCTGTGAAATACATTAAACAACTTTGTACATTGATATATACCACAAAAAATGATAAAACTTGAGTAAACTATTACATCTACTGCAAGGTAGATCATAATGGCTGTAACACCACTACAAACACTGGAAGAAAAACAATAAATAGAATTTACAAAAATAAATATATTATGAATTTATTCCTTGGCTGATGGTCGTGTTTTTGCAAAAATCAAGGTCACATGTTCAACCTTCAAAAACTTTCCCAACTACAGGTACAGGTCACCCACTGAAGATCTCAGACTGAAAAAAGCCAGAACTACATGTGTTTAATCATGGCTATAGTCTGTTAAAAATGTCTTTATAGGACCCAGTGATAGGATGTTAACCAGAATGCCGAGGAAATACCGTCCAGCTCTCAGAAGGGGAGCCCAGCTTTGATGGCACGTCAGCTAACATTTCCTCCTGCTCTCTCTCCCACACACAGCTGCTTCACAGAGAGTCACTCCAGACTGGTCTGATGGGAGGAGAAGGACCTTAATGGTGTCTTAGGCGGCGTCACATCAGAAGTTCTTGAAAAGATCCCGCAAGTGTCTTTGTGAAACTGTATATCTAAATATATGTCGAGGTGGCAGTGATAGCTTGCTTAAATACCAGCTGCTATGTGTTATTTCAAATGCAAAAGCAGAAACACAGCTGGAGGCTTGAATATACTGTTGGCAGCTTCTAGTTTTCCATGTGTCTTCAATGAAATATTTAAATATCACTCCGGTGCCATAGAAACATCAAAGCACTGTTATTTGACGTGGTGAAAGTTGGTTGAAAAACTAAACTCAGTGCTGCTAAAAATAATCAAACAACACCTAATATTATAAAGTCACAATTACCTGTCTCAATTTCATTGAACTGCATTCATTTTTATGTGCGTGATGTGTGAGAGAAAGACAGACAGGCAACACTATAAAGTTTAGTCGTATCACTCAATAATTTTTCTATGTGTTTTAGTTTGTGTTCATATTAATCAGCTGTGTCTGTCTGTATATGAAACTTTTGTCTTGTTATACTTATTTGCTGCCATCTTGTCCAGGACTTCCTGGAAGAAGAGATATTGTATCTCAATGGAATCTTCCTGGTAAAATAAAGGATAAATAAATAAATATCTAATATTGCGTATGAAAAAAACCTCCTCAAGAGTAAAGCCCCCTAAATCAACTTAAAACTGTAAAAATATGGAGCAGATCCATAGTGCAGCGCATGCAACTCAATTTGTTCAAACTTTGTTCAAAATCTCTCATCATTCTGAAAAATCCTGCAGACTGAACATCTGGGCCAAAAAACAGCCTTGCAACATTACGACATTTTATGTAAATAATTGATGATCAGATGCTGCTCCATTTGGCTCTTCCTGCCAAACCCACCTGTGCACCATCGCGCTCCCACTTCTCCATGGTTATTATTCTCTCTCGGGTCTCATTGATCTTTTTCAAGAACAGACAAGAAAAGCAAAAAAGAAACGCTTGTAATCTACTCCCATTTGTGTACATTTTCATAATCATACCAATTTTGTTTTTAACATAAACTGCTTCTTTTCTTTTATTTTTATTTTTCCTGACATCAAAAATGTATGTTATGTAGATTAATGCAAACAGGAAGGTCATGGCGGCAGGAGGGGAGAGGTACAGATTTCTTAAATTGCCATGTTTTAAATATGAAAATATATAACAGCATAATGTGTTCAGTGTGCTGAAAGTAAACCATATGAAAGCAGACAAAAGGCCCACTGTGTTCCTTACAGGAGAGAGAGAGAGAGAGAGGGAGGGAGGGAAGGAGAGAGAGAGAGAGAGAGAGAGGCAAAGGAGAGGTGTAGAGACACACATGAAAAGGGCAGTGCATTGTAGCATTTGTGCTTGCCCACACCACAGCACCGGAGTGCAGGTGAGCTGTCTTTCTGTAGATAGACTGCTGAGAGATTGGCAGAGAGCCGCTGTCGGGATCGTGGAACAATAGGACGTCTGCTTTGATAGTGCACTGCAGCTTGAGCGTGGGTAGATCTTGGATAGTCCAGGCTGTGCATGAAAGAAAAAAAGTTTTTGAAACTGCATGCAGTCAGGGACTGAGGCAGCTTGAAGGCATTAACTGCATGTATAGTTATGTGATTGTTTTGGGAATTTAAAATATGAACATTTTTCGTGTGTGTGTGTGTTCCATGAGAGACTGTGATGCAGGCATTTCGCTGTTGCACTTTTATTTCTGTTGCACACAGGGCATGTTTCACATTAGCAGGGTTGCAAAAGTTACGCTTGGCGGCCATTATCTGAAAATTTGATCACGGTGCCAAAATGTCAGGGTGAGGTCAGTGCTCTCCGGTCGTTGTGATTGCCTTAATTAATTCCAGACCTCAGTCGGTAGGTGACCTTAAAACAGGCTCAGAAAATGTGCCCTGAGACGCATGAACATGTAAACAGATTCTGGAGGAACCTCCTCAGTTCCGGAGAAAAGGACAGAGCAGAGTAAAATATAAATTGTGTAGAAGGGTTAATAATATCAATAGCACACTAATACCTTAAAGACATCAAAAGCATACATTTCAGCAACACTTTACCTGCAACACCCTGATGTCCCGACTTGCCAGCTCCTTCGATCTTCTGTAACTGAACACCGCAGTGTAACTGTAGATGGCATATGCAGTGGAGACTGAACCCCGCAGTGTAACTGTAGATGACATATACAGTGGAGGTGCACATTTGACGGTAAGGACTTCCACACTAGCCATTACTTTCAGGAACACAGGGGAGCGACCCATTACCTAGCGTGAGGGGTTCCTCTGTCCATCAGGCCAACGCACGTTTCTTTGCCTTTTAACACACATAGCCTTGACTTCCTTATTTCTACGGTCATTTTAATTAACAAAAAGCAATAAGAATTACAAGTAGCAGCACTGAACCGCAGTCTCAGGAACAAATGGATGCATTCAGCTTGCTTGATGATTCTGAGGTCCTCCAGAAGACCAGAGGTGAAGTTGATTGTGTTTTTATTGTTTGGACATGGATTGTCTCTTAAAAATGTGAGGGGGGGCCAAAAAAAATTGTAGATACAAGTGTCCTGCATTACATGGTGATTATTCTTATAAATGACCATCTCCAGAGAGAAGCCTCTGCTTCTCCTCTGATTTCACGCAGTTTTCATCTCCACCTCTACTCAGCTGCGTCAGATCTTGCCACTGACCTGCGCAGTTCCCATGTGGCCAGATCCTGGATCAGTCATTCTCATGCATTTCCATTTATGGCCCATTCCTCTGCTAAAGGGCTTGGGCTGCCAATCTGCTTTTCTTACCAGAGAGAGGACAGGAAGAAAAAACATCTCACATGGGACTCGCTTAAGCCGGTGATTGACAGCGTGTGCTTTTGATGTCTGTCATCACCTTGTGTTAGCCAAAGCAATGCCACCATGACCTGAAAATAATGAAGCCTTGTAGACTTAAAGCTTGAAGCGGAACCCCAAAATTACTGTATTTTAAAGTACTTGCGGGTCTTGAATGAGGCTTTGTTTCAATGAGAACAGGTCCTCCTTTTTTCGACAACATTGTTTTCCAATTGGCCTGTGCTTGCCACATGGTAATAACTATCAAAGCGCTTCTACGATGTGAAGAAGCTTGCCATTCCATTCATCATATAAACATGTCAATCAAAAGCCAGAGGAAGCAGTTTCGGATTAATCTTATTATATTGCCCACAGAGATGACTTTATGGGAATATTTCCCCGAGGAAGAGATAAACACTTTTACACTTTTTTTCTTCTTCTTTTTTTTAATTTATACCAGTGTTTCCCAAACCGGTCCTTGGGGACCCTCAGACAGTCCACGTTTTTGCCAGATTGGGAAACACTGGTTTGCATCAGTTCCTTTGTACCAGTTATGTGAGAAGCACAGGTCTGAGGCTGACATTAAAAGCGATATCGGACACGGAATAGCACGATAGCACGCCATGATCTAGTATTTGCCGTCGTCAGTCATGAAAGTCATAATAGTTAAAAAAAAAAGCGGTGGTTATAGAAGCAAAACTTTTTTCTACTCAAGTCGATTTTTATATGCAATGAAACCCACTTACATGATACTTAAGTATTTCCTTCTACTGTAAGATTTCTAGGCTATCTGTTTCTATTTATTACCATGCCTGATTTCAGGATTATTGGCTCATAAAAATCCAGTCTTCTTCCATTATAGAGTAACAACACAAACTGAAGCAAAACATGAATATAAAAAAATGATTCATGTTCACGGTGAACCATACCTTCTGAGAAGGCATACTCATTTATTTGACACTCATTTTGTGTCCCATTTTTTTCAGAGGTGTGCTCGGAACATAGCGTAATAACCATCGTGTCGTAAATGTGTTGCTCACATCTTTCTTGATGGGGCAGCTGCAGAGGAATGAGCTGGACTGTGAGAAATGTCACTTAGGTGAGAGGTCCAGGGAAATCAAAGGCTTCTTCACCTGACAGCGTGTCCGGACAATGCAGCTGTTTGTCTCTCCATCTCCTTTGCACAAGACTTTTATTTTTCCAGCCAAGCCTCGTTCACACCCGCGTGACGGCCATTGTGTGTGTGTGTGTGTGTGTGTGTGTGTGTGTGTGTCTGCTTTCTGGCGGGAGGGGCAGGGGCTGCACAGACAACCTTCCTCTTGTTTGTGCTGTGAGTCAACTGTAGAAGAAACATACGTGGGAATGCAGACAGACCCCGGTGGATGTGCTATCTGTGACTGTGATCTGGAGGTATTCAGCAAGCACAGGCAGCATCCTCTGCTTAGCTGGCCTCATTTACTCTGAAAATATGTGTTTTTTTTTCCCCAGAATAATGAATTTTACATTTATTTAAGTGTCATAAAATGATGTGAATTTTACATACATGAAAAAGGAATTGCAGAAGGAATAAATGCCAAGATATACATAGATGATAATTGAGCTGATCATAAAATTGACCTATAATTTATGAGCAATGACTGTTTAAATGGGCGATGATAAAATTAAAGTACTCATTTCCGAAATTGTTCAAACGTAATTTTTTATTTCACTACATGGTAGACTTGGTTGCCACATGACCTGTTTTTATGATTAATTTCTCATGACATCAGTGCCAGGTCAGAATGAGGATGAGGTGCATTTCTGTCCGCTGGTGGATTTGCCGGAGCCTTACTGGTGTATAGGGCACAGGGGTGCTGTGTGGTCGGATGGGTTCGGACGCTGTGCTTCTTGCCAGTTCAAATCTGTTATTCGGCAAAGTGATGTCACCCTTGTGCCCCTGAGCACGGCTCGTAGTAGCCATTAGTGCCCGGGGGTGGCTTTCTTAATCAAATGTCACTTTGGATAACAGTGTCTGCTCAGCAAATACAATGCATATGCGTAGGTTTTTGTACATCATCAATATTTTACTCCTGGTTTACTTTACTCCTGGTTTTTCTCGTCAGTCAGAGCGAACTGAGAGCAGTGACACCAGTCCGTAGGTGACGTAGTTTCGCTGTCAGCGGTTGAGCTGAAAGGCACAGTGGGTGGCATACCAGTTAAGTTAGGCAGGACTGTGGGAGTACTGGTGTGCGCCAATTCAGGGCCAAGTGTTGTACTTTTAACATGAGGTATAACTTTACTGATGGAACTACACATAAGTGACACTTGTAGGATAAATGTTACTACTGAACAATTAACAGTGTCAGCCTCTAAACAATGTTAGCCATTCCTTAAATTTCACCTCCAGATCATTTAATTAATTAACTTAATTCGTTAAATAACTTCATGAGGAATTCGTTGGCCAAGCATATTATGCTGGTGGAAACGTCGACAAATAGATGGGTAGACTGGATGGTTACTGAAAACACTGGGGTGACTTTAGGTGAGTTTTCGCAATGGAAAAGCACAATATTTTACAAGAAAACAAACAAATTTGTTTGTTTTTGTTTTTTCATTCATTCATTCATTTCCCAGACCTACTCATTTTAGCTGAATGTGCTGGAACATGCAACCCTTTGGCAAGATGGGTTTGGCACGGCTTCCAGTACAAACGTGCCTCTAATCTATGGTAAATGCAGCTGGCCGTACAGTGAGGCTGTGGGCAGCTACGGAAGAGTCCGGATGGTCTGGCGTGAAGCGCAGCAGCTGGTCCCAGCTGGCACGTTTGCATTTGAGATGGATGGAGGACTGTTGAGACCTGGATGGTCCCAGGTCGTGTTACTCTGCTCCTCATGTTCTTTGGTGGGGGGGGGGGGAGAAACAAAACCAAGCTGTCTAAATAATTTACCGCCCTGCTAGACTAACAATATGTAGAAACCATCCTTATTTCTACTGCTTCTGGGGAAGATACTGTCGACAAGAAAAGCACAAGCCTCCGTGAATTACATTACAGTTTAATGTCCGTAGCACGTGTGATATAATAAGAGACAGAACATGCTGAAAAATATCCTTCCAGCATTGTAATTCAACAATCATAATGTGACGTTTAATAAACCATGTTATGGGCTTTAAAAGAGCTGAGCTGTGTTGTTAAAACGTCATGTTCATTAAATATTTTACCAATTTGAGAGTAACCTCATTTTTCTGAAGAAAACAAAAAAAACCTGTTGTACACATTGCTTATAAAATCTTGCCACATTATGAATCATGTAGACCCTCATAGTTCAACTTGTTTCACATTAATACATATTAGAAGCCTGGAATAACAATTAAAAAAAAGAAGAAGAAATAATTCATTTTCCTATTGAATTTGAGAACATGACAGTCTGATAATTAACATTTTTCTTCTTTCCCGGTAGATGGTTCTGGACTGAAAACAACGCCTCATGGGGAATAGAAGAGTCAAATGAGCATCAGTTTCTGACAGGAAAGGCCCAAATTGCCAGCTAAAACATTCCAGATGTGACTTTTACTGATAGAACCCAGTGGCAAAGGAGCTGAGCTTCAGTGAGGTTACACAGATACGAAGATGCCTTCGGACTGGACAAGGATTTACGTAAAGGCTTGACTCTTTTTGACCTGATGCTTTTTGGAAGACTCTTAGCTAAATACACCTGTCAGTTTGGCCCCAATGAAAAAGGAATAAGCACAGCCAAGCCCCCACCCCCATTTTGAAAACCATTTTCACTTCTCAAGCACCAAATTGATGATTTGGGATTTTAAATAAACTGTGATATAAGATCTATGGATAGTATTATGCATGAGAGATGTAAATAAACCATCCAAAGCCAAAATATGCGAATGCTGTTAAGCTTATGACCTTATTTTGACATCCACAGCCTTTTGACCTTTATACAGTTATCGGCACAGACGTTAGACTTCATTTGGTTTCTCTGTTGCCAGCAAGTTCCCAGGAAATAAACAATCTGCTGTTCCAAATATCTGTACTGCATACTTCAGGCAACACAGGAAGTTCTAAAACAGTTTTACTGCTAAATTGTCATGTTTTGAGGTTCTCAGTGTAAAGATCCACTAAGAGCTTTTGAGCTTTAGTTCTGAAGATGTATGATCTACCCTAGAGACAACTACAAATATACAAGGTGTTCTAGCTTAACTGGACATTCGCACAATATCCGTGACCTTTTTTTGTCGGAATCTTTTCACTGGACCCACTTTGAAGAAGCATCCTGGAAATACCCCTTACATTTTGAGAAATATCAGCCCTCTTTTATTGGCATTTCTTGAATAACTATCTGTGACGGAGGAGGTGGATAATAGACACTTATGTTGAAAAATCTTCACACTGGAAGATGTGCTGTGTTCCTCCTAGCTGGCACTGGTTGTACCACTGGATGTCTTGTGATTTTGTCTGAAGCCTCACTGACACTGGATGCTCTTTGAGTCACAAGGGTCACACCTCACTTGCAGTGGACAGTGACCCTCCCTGACCCCTGCAGCGCGGAATTGCAAAAGGGACACAAAGTCAGTTCAGTAGAGCTCCAATTAGCTTCAGAAGACCATATCTGGTGGGAGAACTGGAGAAGATGCATCAACAAGTCAAACGACAAGTGACTTGGACTGGATTCAATTCCTTTGCTAGCCTTGATAAAGAGAGACGTGACTGTAAGGTTACCAACGGAAACCCAGCACTGGGACCCAGCACCGATCTTCCAGGCAGAAAAACAAGTAAATATTCCCTACTTTTATCCTTATTAAAATCAAACTTGAATTGAATGTTTTCGTAGCATATCTCCTGTGTCTAAAACTCTGTTTAAAAACTAAATCTGAATTGCTCTGGGGAGTTAATGCTGTTAATGGCAAGTTTCATATCTAAGACGCGCATTAAAATTTCTCCTTGTGAAAGTACTACACTTGTACCACACTGTGAAAAATAACGTTTGCATATTGAACTGAAGTGGAATGCAGAATTTAGATTCAGCCAATCTTTACTCTGCTCCAGATCTCTCTAAAGATAAACAGTTTAAAGACTCAGTGAAACATCTGTCTCTATAGTCAAAAGCTAGTTGGATTCTGATTATTGCACTCGTTATCCATTTGTTTACAAAAACTGCTTACCAGTTAGGGTTCTGATACTTTTTGGTGTGGATGGTGACTGAAATGCATCCGTCCATCATCTAACTGCTTATTGTGGTCAGGATCATATGTGCAGTTTGAATCCTAGACTTGGGACTGGATGCAAGTCCATCACAGGGACACACAGGCACACAGTAACCAAACACGTGTCCATCATATTTTTCTAGTTTCATTTGCTAATTTTAAAACCGGTCCTTTTCCATCGCTGAGTCTGAAGCTATGCTATTGCTTAGCCAGATGTAACATGCAATTTTATAGAAAAGAAGAAAAGTATTTTATGAAGTTCACTTCAAAAGTACAGAGGCAGGCCATTTAGTCTCAAGATGGGTCTCAGCTCATCAACTGGCATCACTCTTTAAGACTTTTTATGTTATTGTATTATTATCCGGAGAATAAGTGCCCTGTGAACCTCAAAGGATAATAAAGAACAGTATAGGGCATTCAGGACACCTGTGATTGATACATTTTTGGACAATTTAATACAGATTTTGACAATTTAATACAGATTTGTATAAAATGTTTTACATATGCCGAAGAAAAGTATATATTCGGGAAATATAATTTTTAAAAAAGAACAGTCATAATAGTTCCAGTCAGAATTGTAAAATAATTAAAAAAAAACCCTCCTTGTAACCTTATAGTTTGCTTGTCCCGTGACAGGCAGTGTTTGCCATTACAGCGTGTTATACAGCCCTTGTGCTTGTTTGTCCTGTGGCTTGTGCATATGGGAAAAGCCACAGGACTTTAAAAGTCAGGCTTGGTGAACATAGCGGCTCCCACAAGCTTCAGAGAAAGATTTCTCATTAGTTTTCTTCAGAAACATAAAACTGTGTACATCTGTCAAGATGTATAACATAGAGCTATAATTCTTTTAGATTATTTTTTTAGACAGAGACATCTTTACTGCAGTGGCTCTATGACATAACTGACTGGAGAATTAAAAGCTAAAAATAAAATAATAACACATTGTATGTCAAAGTGATATGATTATATATTTGTTCCCAAAATCTTTATGAATCCAACAAAAATGTAATAATCTAACAAAAAAGTTATTCAATTCAACAAACTTTTGATCTACCAGGAAATAAAATAGACTAAAAAACATTTATGCATATGAAATGGATAATAGTATAAGAAAAACGACCTGTCTACAAACATGCTATTCAATAATATATCCAATACTGAATTTCAAAAGTAAATATAAACCAGCAATTTAAATATAATCAGCAGCACACCGTGTGTCTTTATTCTATCAGAATTGCAGCAAATCACAATTTATAATAGTAAACAAAGCGATGTGTGAGTCTGGTACTGCTTATAAAATGCAAAACCTCCCCGAGTCAAAAGTGTGCAACCAGGATTCAGTGGGATTAGAAAATACACCTTCCTCCAGTGCAATACACCTTCCTCCAGTGAAATCTTTGACTCCCTAAAGCAGCTTCCAGTACTTCTGAGTAGGCAGTCAACCGTATCTAGGAAGCCAAATATGGAGCGGGTAGAGTACAAAAATGTTTTCATACTGAGATGGATTTTTTTTTGTTGTTAAAACCTGTTACTTGCCGGTGTATATGGCCCTGTATGACTTTCTAAAACAGGGTTCTGTCTAGTTCAAGTTTACTCTCTTTTAACTTGTATCAGGTTTCTTGGAATCTTTGATGTTGAGTGTTTTCTCCCTTAATCCAGAATGTCTCATGCAGAGTGAAGCCCACTTGTAAAATCCTTACTTTCTGTCAGCGTTTAATACTTTGTAGTGGGTTCTGCTGTAGGTTTGAAGTGCATGTTTTATAGCACAGCTACCATGAATGGTGATCCACACTGAGAGATAAGAGGAGGTTAAATCACAGCCAAGATCACATGAACTCCTCAGTCAAGTCAAATCTCTCTCAGTCCCGGCTCCAGTCCACTGGGCCCATTGGAACACTGCTGTTATTCCAGTTTGTCCCACAGTGAGTGAAAGGAAATATTCTTAGGGGAAATCTGCACTTTGACAGACAGCTTGGAGCTCGTTCTGAAAATGCTTTCCCATCCCTTTGAACTGGTCCCCCTCTCCCTCATACCGATGTCACAAGTAGAGCTCTATCTCTGCCCAGTGGGGAAGAAGGAAATTCCTGTCCACTCCCATAAGGTTGGTGCTCAGGGTTCAGAAAGGGCAGCCCTCAGCACAGGGGGGCAGCCCTCAGCACAGCGGGGCAGCCCTCAGCACAGGTCAGCAAGAAAGGTCCTGTTGAGCGGCTGGTACAAGGCCGGTCAGGTGTCTGAGGACCACCATGTAATCCGCTCTCCTTTGGCACTACACCCTTCCCCTCCGTCAGCCCTGCGCCCCCCTCCCTCGAGCAGAACAGGACACGCTGCCAAGGCAAGCACAAACGGGTTGGCCTCCCTCCCGCTCAACTGCTGAAATGAGGTTACACTTCTGCATAAGCTTTTTAACAGACGCCACAGCACAGCACATTACATTCATTTCTGGAAATGAATTAATGGCTGCCATATCTGATGTTTTCACTTAATGCGTCTCTCTGATTATATATTTAGTCCCCATTGTCTTTGACTCTAGAGAAATATTCTTGTCTTTGGAGCTTAATTATCTTTGCAGAGCCGGGCGAAGTATGAATGACATCAGCATATATCTTACATCTTGATTCACTTAACGTATGTTTTCTCACTCCAGATTTAAGACCTAGGCTCAAAATAATTTATATACTGATTTTATAAACTGTGGTTAAACATCTACATATGACGTGTTTATGAAAACTAACAAAAATGTTTTATGTTCTCCTGTGTGGCAGGGCCGTTCAATAAAGAGGGCATTTGCATAATTAAATAAGGGTTAGGTGTGACTTGGTGGCATGAAGCACTGGGTGATGGTCACAGGCATTAAGACCATGAGGCATTCCCAGCGCACAGCACTGAAACGCTGAAGTTTCAGTATAAAACTACGATCAGCTAACTGTGTATCACAGTATAACATCGACGGGGAAAAACTCGGAGTCAGAATAAGTTTCTTGATGGACGGAGCCATTCGGTCCGTAAACGAAATACAATCCCGCTTAGCTGAAAAGGGGGTGTGGAAAAAAGCCCTACAGTTAAATTGCAAAAGCTTGTGGAGGAGCAAAGTGAGATCCAGGGAGGGAGAATGGAGTTCTCATAAAAGGTAAGCAGGGGCATATTTTCTCGGTTAGCTCTTTTGTGGCCCCGTAATTAATCTCTCCTCCGGGTTATGAAGTGAAGCTGTAAAATGGGCAGCATCTTATAAGCCGACATGTGTCCTCTGTTTACGTCCAGTTAACTTCGCCGCGGTTTCTGTGTTTTACTTTCTGGAGGATTGTTGTCTTAATACTGCAGTGACGCTGCTGTCAGTTTCGTGAGAATTCATGTGTTCATTACAGTGATGCGGATGGACTTTTAACTGCGTGCAATAAGGCAGCCTAATTTACTGACCTGGCATAGGGGGATATTAATGCTGAGGGTGCCAAACATATCGACATAAACCGAAAAAAATTAAAAAATAAAATGACATTAAGCACAGAAATTTAGGTATTCGCTTGTGTAAGATAGGTTGTTGATTTTGTTTGATTTTGCTGTCCGCTATAATCTTAGGGTTCTGAGTGGTACTTGTTAATATGACGATGATGATAGAATTTATATAAATAATGAGCTAACTATGCGATTTATATCTTTGTTATATACACTATATTACTTGTTACGCTTTTGTAATTTTGTTAGAAACAACATTCAGTTGTGAACATTTTACTCCCATTTAACTTAACCAACCCACAAACTCGAATAAACTCATAGCGCTCATACTGGCAGAGGGGTCTTGGTGAGACAGTGACTGCGCAGTAAGATACGTAACAGCGGAAAGTCCGCGGGCTGGGTCGCAGTCCTCAGTCCCTAAACCGAAACCTTTATATAGCATTGCGACATCCACAGTCTGCAAAATACAACTCCGTGTTTGTCCCTATTGCATGGTATTTTTCTTTCTTTCTGTCATGACTTCTGCTAGACTTGTTACTTTTAGAAAACTACGCAGTGTCATATACTTAACTGTAAATGAATAACATAAAATTAAAGAAAACAAGATTTAATGTCAGTCCGTAGCAATTATGGTTAGTGTTTTATCGTTTGTCAGCTGTCAGTTTATGTCAATATAAACATTGTCAGGCATGTTTACAAAGTAGGCGGCAAAAAAATCTTAGGAGATTTATAAAGAAAACTAAATAATTAATTAAGAGAATTACGAGAAATGCATAAAAATACATCATTATTAGTAAGCAGGATGCTGAAAGCGTGACACTTGACTGTAGAGTTTATAGTTTGTTCCCAGGGTTTATTTAAATTAAAACCAGATTGCCTTGAAACCCAGCAGCAGATAGACACTATTTGTGGTGTAGATGGAGATCATTCATGCATTTCTCTGGATTCCTTGCACATTTGTTTGAGCCAGGGAAATTCCCTTTTGGAATACATTTCATTTGAGAGCATACTGCATCTTATTATGGTCATATTAAGAGAATTCATCTGTGATTTTTGCATGCCGTATGAAATTTATTAGTAAACCCCACTGAACAATAAACTACTTTAATTTCTTAGCATTTTATACTCAGTGCACAGTATTTTCATACATGTACATAGAGCAGAAGGGACAATTCAAAAATGTGTAGGTGGTTACACCCTGATTCGTAAATTGCTCAAGATTAGGATGAGTTGAATTATTTCTTAGTGATCTGAAAGTTATCCTGTAAGGGACTGATCATGTATCATGTACTAGATTAGGTGTTTTTTCAAATTGTAAATCTTGAAGACTGAAAAAGATTTTGCAAAAAGGCATGTCTTGCAAAGGCAACAAACATACTGCATAATCAAGACTGAACCTGACTGACTAACATAGGTTACTCTGACAGTGAGAACGCACAACACTTCCCCAACATACATAGATCTGTTATGTTATGTTCTGTCCTTGTACGCCCTTCAGTTAGTGTTTCTTGGGGAGAATGAGACGGAAATGTGTTTCCCCTCTTTTCATGATTAACAGCTAAAGTATCTAAGTTAACTTGGCAGCAGTAGTAGTAAAATATTAGTTACTAAGCCAATTCCTTGCTATAAAACAAACAAACAAGTAATAAATACATAAATAAAACAGGATGTTAATTTCTTTATTTGATACCATGGTCTTGGACACTTGTAGGCCTATTTTATTCCATTTCACAACTTTTTAGAAACATGACGGCGTATAGAAGGTTCTTACAAAGTGGCTGATTGACTGCAACCTTTCCCAGTGTGCTCAATAAAAAAAAATGCAATTTGACATTTTTGTAGCTACCTAAAATTTGTTTATGTACTCTACAGTGGAATTCAGGTAGCTTTGCTGCAAGTTAATTATTTACATAGGAGGTGTGCCATTTAAGGTGCAGTTAAGTGGCTGGCATGACAGAAAAGCTTTGACATTGTATATGATCATTTGTGAAAAATCACTGTTATTCACACTTATTTGTCCTCACAGCCAGACCCATTTATTTCCACTGCGTCTTACCAGTGTCGTCCTAAAACTGCACATCATTTTTTTAGTTTGGGTTTCAATTAGAGCATCTCAGTGGTTTAAAAATAGCCTCAACAACAGCAGCAACAGGTAACGTTTTCCCTTCCTACCCTGGCATCTATCAAATACATATACAGTATAGACTAAAAATCAAGAATAATCAATATGATTGAATAAATTTCTCAAACACAAAAAAAGCATACAGAACGAGAGTGCTGAAGGAATGACAGGGCCGGAAAAGTACCGCGCTTAGCAGGAGGCCTAGAGAAGCAGGGCAGCGAAGTCGGCCTTCGCCCCGGGCAGCGAAGTCGGCCTTCGCCCCGGGCAGCGAAGTCGGCCTTCGTCTCGGGCAGCGAAGTCGGCCTTCGCCCCGGGCAGCTGGACATTCTTTCCGAGACTTTGTACTGTAAGCTGCATTTCATAATGAGATGCGGCAAATAGCATTTGCTTCCGTTTACTAATATAATATAATTTCCATCTGTCTTCACTGTCTAGCATCAGTCTTTATGTTCTCCTTTGATTTTTTTATCCTCAGCATTTTGTTCCTGGTTATGGGTTGATTTGGTTTGAAATGATATTTCTACGAAAAAGAAGATATCTGTAATCTGTAAATTCTTTGTACTTAAGAGGTATTTAAATCACTTTTATTCATCATTAATCCAAAGACACGAGATATCTAGCGTTTAGCACTTTCTGGCATGATGTGTCTGTGTTTTTTTCTGGTCTATTCCAGCACTCATAGATGCTGTGTTTCAGTAATGCTAAAAATGCTTTATCCTGTTGATGTGGGTAGACAAAGACTAACTCGATCTACTCCTTCACACCAAGTTTGAGACTTTGTTTAAATGGTCATAAAACACATTTTAGGAAAGAAAAGGTTTAGGAAGTATCAATCAGGAACAAATTATACATAATAAACCAAAGTAGTTTATTAGTCATTTTTGCATCATTTTGAGGTATTGTGCAGCTAACTTGTTCACTTTGCATCTGTGTGTTCTTTCAGTTCAGGACTAAGTGTGCTGATATTTATTGTTTTGGGAAATGTGAGTCTGTTGATTGTTTCAATTGGTATTCTGCCATTGTAAGGCATGACGAAGTTCTCAAAGAATTAACTCAACAGTGAAACTGGGTGACATGTAACTGCTTTTTGGCAAGAGATATATTATCTTTCTTTGTGCAAACATACTTTTTCCTAAGTGTTCCGGAGTACCGTATTACATACCCAGAGAGTACATAGTGGAAGTCTTTTTGGAGAAGTGTGGAATAAAGAGGATAATTGATCAACTTTTCTCTTTAGTTCAGAATTCAGAACAGTCGTGCATAGTTTTTGACTGATGTTGTAAATAATAGTTTTGCATGCAGTATGAATTCCCTGCACAAGGTCGTAAAGCCAGCTCAAGCTCTGTGGGAAAAGATGTGTCCTTAAGGAAAACAAATAGATTGTTTATATTGGAAATGCAGAGGAAATTTCTCCTTTATTCAAATTAGCAGATACTTCCTTCACGGTAGTGTTTGCCTAAGAGAAAAGTTAAGTTCTGAAGGCAAGTTTCAATTTCAAGGAAGGAATTTTCTTGGCCTTTGTGGAATGCTCAGGGAGAGCCCACTGCAGATGGCAAAGGAAATAGCTTAGTTGTTAGGAATGAAGGGCTTTAGCACAGAAGAGTAATGTGTGACATTTGAAATAATATATTTTAACATGTTCTTACAAAAACAACATAAAATCTGAAAAAAGAATTATTTTCCAGTGAAATACTTTTATGTCTTGATAAAAGCATTAAGCATATAATGTTACTATGCATTGATCATGCTTTGATGTACTAAAGCTTTAGGATAACCTGCTGTATGATGCACTTTCTGGTTTTAATTTGGTATTTTGCTTTGAAAATGAAATTATTGATCTTACTCCAAGTGTGTGATGCATTTATGATGATGTCTGCATTAATTCTAATCTAATTATAGGAATATTCTAATGCCAGTCTAGCACATAGCTCACCCTTAAAATCTTCAAAGATCACTCTGTTTGACATTTCCTCCTTAGCCTTGTTTTCCAAGCTGTCAGTTTACCGCTGCAGGCTTGTTACACAACAGTGGTCATCAGTGCGTCTCTATTCCTGGAATGGCCTCCCTGTTTAGATGAAGATCCCAGCTGCTTCACCCACTTTGCCCAGATTAAATAACCGCATCTTGATTTCCTGTCCATACATGCTCAGCATAGTTAAAAATAATGACTAATTCCCTTGCCGCAAAGAAACTTAAAAGCAACTTTAGTGGAATATAAGGGGATTTCACTTGCTTCTTCAAAATGACGTATTTAAATATAACGAGAACAGTTGTGGATAGACGTGCAAAGCGTAGTTATCATCAAATAGGAATTCCACAGAAACCTCAAAAGTGGTAATTGAATCGCTATAAATGCAAGTGCATGTTCAGGCCCAGAGATTATGATAATAGTTTTTTTCTCCTGGCTTTTAAATCAAGATGTGGATAGCCTAACAAAAGTTTGTTATATTCCTGAAAATGTTTTCACACAGTAAATGTGGCACAGGAGAACAATCAAAAGAAATGTCTGACAAGGATTGGATACGACACCACACACACACACACAAACACACACCAAACTCACTGAGGTCAAGCACGTTGATATGCAATCGATATGATATTGTTACAGCGGATTTCAGTTCAGTATTACCTTATTTAAATGAATCAGCAAAACAAAATGTGTTTATTGAAAACAGCAATACAATTTATAAAGTTTATATTTCTTAATCATTAGGGAAATGATGAATCACGTAGGCTATGGTATTTGTAAGCGTGTAAGAACTTTGGTGAGTGACTCATTTGGTAATACCTGCCACCTGCTACTCATGCTCATTTCCTGCTGAATCTGCTGCTTTATACCTATTCATCTCTTTGCCATTTGCAGATCTCAGCCGAAGTGCCAGCTTATCAGAAAAGGAACTGAAAGAGGCTCGAGACAGAAGTCAGATCATTGCTGCTCAGCTGACGATTCCATCAAATGCCAGCTCTCGAGGAGTGCAGCTCTTTAACAAGCGGAGGGCACGTGTGAACGCCTTCACTCTGGTTAGCTTTGGCAAGGGCGCTGGACAAGAGGCTTCTGGCAATGACAAGAACTGTCCTCCTAAGAACACCCTGACATGGGAAGACAAACTCTCTGAAGGAAAGGAGAAAGAATTTAACAGCAGAAACAGTGATTCCCAACTCTCCAGATCTTCCAGTGAACTAATCCAGAAGGACAGCAGAAGCATGGTGGATCAAAGTGACCCTATTCCAAAAATGGATAATTCTGCCGTTCAAGAGGAAGATAGACATTTTCTTCCCGTGAAAGAGAATGACGCAGAATTTTTGAGTGATATCACAGAAAAAGTCCATGAAGAATTAGCTTACAGTAACTGCAGTAACAGATCTGTCCAGTCCAGCCAGGGCATAGATGAGGTGGGGGCCACCAATCCGGGGACGGACTCCTTCACTTCACCAGGAGAAATACCAAATGGAAGTCACAGTGATCAGAATGCTGTAAATGGCTCCCCATCCCTGATGAAGCAAGCTACAGTCATCACTAATCGGACAGCACGTCCATTTGGGTCACCCAATGTTCTGAGGTCCCCAGAAACCAGGAGTCCAGTGATGGGCTTTCCCCAGCATACTATCCCAACATTTAACAAGCCTCTTCCACAAGCCTTCTGCCCCCCGCCCCCTGCCTTTTCACCTTCTCCGGTTTCACCTCCTGCATACTCTGCCCCACCTGAATTCTTCAGTCCCCCTCCAGTGTCTCGTATCGTTTCGCCTCCACCATGCCTGGCCCAATACGCACCAGCGGTGACTCCAAGACCACATTACAACCCTCAGCTCATCAGTGAAAGAAAGCAGCAGGTGCCTATTAGAACGGGAATCCTGGAGGAGGGCACGGCACGTAGGGCAACTCGGAAGGCGATGTTCACATTTCAAGAGAAGCCAAAACTTGATCCAAACCCCGAGCTCCTGTCCCTAGTCCAAGGAGTCGATGAGAAAAAGAAGTTAAGGTCCCAATTTGAGCACATGCAGGAAGAGGAGTTGCTAGAACTCGGAGCTGAAGCTTCTAATTTTCTTGCTAAAGACACGTCCTGCATTAAGGAGGCAAAGGTACCTGAGTGGTCCTCATGTTTGAAGAGATCTGAGACAAGGGTCAGGCCTGTTCCCAAGACAGAGCAGGGACTGACTAATGCATCAGGAAAGGGGGCTCAGCTTTTTGCTAGACGTCAGTCCAGAATGGAAAAATATGTGGTAGGGACCCCATCAGGGATAGAGGGGTATGTGAGATCTCCCTCCCCCACTGCATCCTTGCCTCCATCTTGGACCTTCCCATCCAACATGCCAGGCCGAGTTAAGGCTATGGCCAGTTCTAATAAAATCAATATACAGCCACCAAAGACTGTCAAAACTGCACCTGTTGTTGTTGCAAAACCAACCCCAGCAGCAGAGTCTCCAGTCTTGGAGAATGGATGTACCAAGACAGAGATGAAGCTATACAAGCATCAGCCCTATCAGCTGGACTCTTCTCTGTTCATCCTGAACCCAACCAAAGACCCAATGAGCTCTTTACCAAAAGCAGCACCACCCCCCAAACCCGTGGTTTCAGAGAAAGTCTATATGCGGCAAACCTCTTTGCCTACAATTGCCACTCCCATCTCTCCCCATTTAAGTTCTCCAGTTCCTTTCAGGTCACCAAAGAGCCCTTCTACTCACGTTCCCCAAAGCCGCGTTAATGGAATGGGATCTGCAGATACCAGACCGAATTATGAAGCTTCTCCCAGACCAGAAGTAGGACACCAAAGAGCCTCTCCTATCTCTCCTTTATCTCCTCAGCGTGTGGCATCACAGCGGCCTGGTATCCAGGCACCAAGACCTACGTTCTCTGCCAGGAAAGCAGGAATTGAACCACAGGTGTGGAAGCCATCATTTTTCTTTTAATTAATTCAACTTGAAGACTTGAAGAATAATTGATACATGCACCAAGAATTGCCTTATGTAGCTCAGACTTGATTGTCGCTTCTTACTGCATTGTCACTTTGTTTGATTTTACAATATGTATCATGAAACAGTCAGTCTGCTTGGCTGATTTGTTAATGTAACATTTAATGTCTGTTTTCCTGATGGCATAAAGCAGGTTATTTTTAGCTCCAAGGAAAACACGTTGCTCTGATAACATTTCGGAATGTTATATCGCTGATATCCTCATCATTTGAGAACAGTTACTGTGACTTTTTTCTCTTTGAAGTGGTGTTTGATAGATTAATCAGCATGAAAGCCATGTGAAGCACTTTAGGTAGAACCGACCCAAAAGCCTCAAGATCCGGCAGACAGTAGAACACGTGCCACCGAATGTAATCTGTGAAATGACTCCCAGCCATTTCATTGCTTGCAGAACCCTGGAAATTATTGATCAGTCTGAAAAACAATTCCAGGTTTAGCATGAGAAGTTTGGAGGAAACAATTTCCCAGGCACTTGTTTGAAATTTGTTTGTACTAGTAAGCCGTCAAAAGCATTTATAGCATCTTTGGTTTATAGATGCATGATTTAAAGCTGAATTTGGGCAATGTGGAGAGCAGAACTGGGGAATTCCCTTTGATGGTCTTCGTTTTATTTCCAGTGGATTAGTCAGATACACGCCCCAAGTCTATAAATGCAGCTGCACTATGGTTTGACTTTAGTAATTGCTAAAGTGTGTGTCTTTCAGCTATAGATGTTGTGTATTTGTTTATTGAAAATATTTTGGTGCGTTAGTAGTATTTGTATAGAAAGTTTCAAGTGCCTACAACATATTTACTAAAATACAAGCCATGGTTAATGTAACTGAACTGAAAAAGTCCAGTTTATTTATATATGTAAAATATATGCAGTGTTTTTCGTGTTTAATTTTACTTCTAATGCATAATTCTTGTCTTTATTTTTATGACATTTCTATTCACTTTTGAATTGTTTAATTCTTTAAAATGATTTCCTCCTCTGTCCTTTTCCCTTTATTAAAGCTCTGTCCTAATAACCCCTTTGACTTCCTAGTCTTTTTTTATAACTAACACGCTGCCATATTTCTTTATGTTCACACTGAACATCTATTTTCTCCTTGCTTCTGTAATTCTATACATTTCTTTTCTGCAATCTTCTGCATATCAATATCTATGCTTATGGAGCAGGAAAACAAAATCTTATCAGTAAACGCGTAAGGAATGAGGCATTTCTAAAAAAAGACGTGGTTTATATTGGCCTGCAGAGTCGGCTTTTTAATGTCATAACTTTAAGACGTAATTCAAGCCAGATGCTTTGGTTACTTTTACAGTTTGGTTTAACATTTTTTCCCGTTTAGACTTTGTCTTATTAAAAAGACTCTGTTCTGCCGTGGTGGCAAAAATTCACATTGGGCAATGGCTTGTCTTTTCCGTATATTGCCAGAATTTCCAGACACAGTAATATATTAGATCTTTTGTGCTACATAGGTATTTGTGAGGTATTTCTACACTGGAAAGTTTTCAAGGAGACTTGTGCAGTGTTGACATAGAAGTAGAATATACAAAGCATCTAATGGCACATCAACACTAAAAATAATTGCTTATAGATTGTTTCTTACTTTGGTTTTGGTTTTAAACTGGGATGAAGCTGGTTTTAACTGACTATTTATGTAGGACGTGCCAAGTCTGGAAGCGATTACCGCTTGAACAGATAGTGGTGAGGGACTGGAGACAGGAATGCACTGGTCTTTATTTTGGAAAATTTTGATGAGCCATGAAATTCCAGCTTCTCTATGCAGTAGATGGATTTTGGCTCTGGTTACCTCAGTAACTGCAGACAGCAGCATACTGACTGAGCAAACCCCTACCTGTCCATACAACTGTGTTACTGGAAACAAGTGTATCTGTATGATATAGAAAGTTTTAAAACATCATTTACTCTTTTTTTTGCAGACTAAATGGGTGATAAATGTCATTGGAAACACAAACAACATGTTTAAGGAAAACCAGACCTACGGGTCAATCCCCCATTGACCGAAAAGTAACTGATCTTGATACATTCCAAGCGAGTGTTCTGTAATGAATATGTCAGCTTGTGTCCAACCGAGGCCTGGCTATTTAGACACAGTGTACGACAAAAGGACAAAGTTATCTCATCTGTCAAAGCCTAACGTGATACGAATTACTGTGGTGGACTGGAAGGCCTTGATGAAGAGTGGGGTTGTAATTTAGGTACAAAACTTAGCATGTAGAGGATGCAAATAGGGAAATATTAGAGTATTAAGTAGCCATATCACAGATCAAACGGCATGAGGGAGGTACTGTTCTACAAGTCGTGGCTATGGGTTATTAACAAGAACTTCATGGTTTGGACCTGCAGCGGGCCGATCCCATCGCTCTGCTCTCTCTCTCCGCTTATTCTCTCTGCTTGTATATTAACCCCTGTCACACAGTCATCATAATCAATAAGAAACATGCCTTACGCAGAGTCACAAAGGAGAACATGTGTGAGATATTATATGAGTATATAAATATAAAACACAGAAAGGAAGCATAGAGTTACTCCAATGACCTTCAGTTTAAGAGAAAACAAAGAAACCTCACGATGCAAAAAATGTGGCAAATTGCACAAAAGGAAGGCAGTTATCCATGCATTTTACTGTGCCCGTCTTCCTGCATACAGACTAGACGTAATCATTACACTCTCCACTTCCTATGGGCAGACAAGGCCAAAATGGTCTTCAAAAGCATATTGAAGCAAACTGCTTTTCTTCATACAAGCCTTTTAAACTGACCTCAAAACGCATTGTTGTGCGTTATTGTTCACATCCGTTTTACTCTTTCCTAGGAAGCAGTTAATGAATGATTCATAAAAATGCGGCTTTTGGACAGACTTTGCCGTGTTCTTACAGAATGCTTCTTGAATGCAGTAAAGCCTCCTTTTCTCCCATGCAGACCAGAGGCGAGGGCCTGTCCACCCCAAGCCCCCCCACCACTTCACTCCGGTCCAGGCAGTCCGGCAGCTCAGATGGCCCCGTCGGTGGGGTGAGGGTCCAGCCTGCCTCAGTCCTCCAGGCTCCCTCGCCGCTGCCTCCGACGTGGGACGAAAGATCCCAGTCGCCCAGCGTCGGCCAGGATGACAAGGCCAATCGGCGGCTGCTAGCCAAAAACATAATCAATGCTGCCAAGCGCAAGAACAGCCCATCCCCAGGTGCCCTGGGGGGTCGGGGGATGTCCGTGTCCCCTGGCTTCCTGCCCCCCCACGGCCAGCGGCCTTTCAGCCCCTTCCAATCCCGCTCCCCCACCTTCATCAGCCCGCCGCCGACGCCCACCCGCTCCATGCACTCACCCGTGTGTCTTTATTCCACGCGTTCTCTCACTGACTCTGATGCCTCAGTGGACTCTGAGGATTTGGGTCTCAGGTCACCCGGGACCCGCAGCTACAACACGTGTCCCCGCGGTTGGGGTGGAAGTTTGAGGCTCAAGAGAGGAAATTTCCCCGCTGACCTCTAGGAAGCACCTCTGCGTACGGCCAGATTGACGAGCCCTGCGTCTTTCATGGTCACGCTGTTCCATCGCTCTCTGCGGCGCTCTGCTGCAAAACATGGAAACAGGAATCTGAGATAAATTTCTTGACTTTTAATTGCAGGTTTTGTTTTACCAAATTGTTTCATGTCGAGTTTTCATTTTTACTAGTTTTGAGATTTGCGTGCAAGTTTGAAGAAGTTTTTCGTGTAAAGAGACGGTATATTTGTGATTTTGGCACAACTGACAGGACAGACATTTAGAGAAACGTTACTGGATACGTCTAAGAAGGTTCGGACAGTTCGATGTGGTGGTTACAGGTAACTGGGATGAAGACAGGGCTTCAAAATTTGCCCACATTCTCTCTTGATAATAGCCGGAGAAGATGAAGATGGCATGAAGAATATTTTCATTCTTTGTCATTGTATTTGCTTTGTGTACCAAACTATAACTTTAGAGCAAAGAGGAAGGTTCTTACGCAGTAATCTTTTAACGAATTCTACTACAGTGCAATAATCCATGTATCACTTTTTTTTCTATGTACTCTGTAACATAATGTTTTTTGGTTAATAGAATGTTAAGTATCATATAAAGTCACTGAAAAGTACAGACAGAAGAGGGAGAGCTGAATATTCAAAACGCGTCAGTGATAAAGATGAAATGGATGCACACAATTCAGTGTTTATGCAGTAATTTGTCTGCATCATTTTAGAGCAAAGAAGTTTTTCAGAACCAAAATTTGAAATTCTAGTTGAATTTCAGTAGGAAGTGGTTAATACTGTGTTATTAACATCCAGTGTCATTGAAACGTTCCTGTTTTCCAGAAGCTAATTTAATGGAAGTCTAGGCTCGTATCGATGGTTTCTTCAGTCATTTTAAGTATGTTGATGATGGTCAGATGCTGGATGCCTTTGGGAAGTAGGACGTAATGTCAGTCGAGGAGGAAGTACTCTTAAGAGAGGTTCCAGATTTTTTCGCTTGACTATAATGGAGGTTCAAAGGGAAGTTTCCAGGAAATATTCAGACATTACACATTTCAAGGAAGAGTATCATTAAGTACATTTTACATAGTGATTTGTTGTTAATTATTACATTTCATTTTGGTAACAGCATTTGGATCATTTTTGCTTGTTTTTGGCCTGATTGTGCAAAGCAGGTGTTATTCTGAATATATGCTGTATGACAATGTACAACATCTGGGCTTATCCTGTTTTGGACACTGAATATGCATCATCATGTAAACTACGAGTATAATGCAACCACTTTACCACAAACAGATGCTACACAGGCCTACAGCCAAGCCCACCAGTGCCCGAATTACATTTCACCCCTCAGCACAGAGAGAGTTACACTGTCAGCAAAAAGTACCAGTTTGTACCCTCGAGGGTTGCTGGGGTTATATCTGACAGTTGTACTCTAGCTGTCGGTTAATGTACCTTCAGGTCTAATTCAAGGTACAGAAATTGACATTTTTGTACCATTGGGGGTGCATTAATGTTGCTTGTACCTTGGGGAACAAACATATACCAAGGGCTGTACCCTTTTTTCTGACAGTCTAGAGGTAGTCCTTGCATATCATAACAGGGCTCAGCTTAGGCATAAAGCAATGGATTATTCAGTGTTTCTACCCACTCTGAGTAATGTGTTGAATAATGTCTTATTGTCATGCATGGACCTTCAGCTGGTCTCCTCGAACGCGGTCGGTATATTTCATGTCTTGCAAAAGCCGCTTGTGATACAGTGTGATTGAAAGTTTAACCAAAATCACATTCCCAATCCCTAATGCTCTGCTGTTTAAATAAAAAAAATATATCAGTTACCAGCTGGTACTGTTCAGTAAATTATATTTTTTCTTTTCTCTCCTCTTCCTAAATCAGAAGCATGTTTCCAGAAACAAACCACATATTTTTCGCTACTATAAATAATGTAAACAGACTGCAAGTAGGGATTTAATTGGCAGCTGCATGGCGATTTTGCCCATTTCATGTGAAGTGCGTTTCCCTTGAAATAAGCTCTTTTCACTGGCTCGGCAGTGACAGCGGGACTCTTTTGTCTTAAACAGCACACAGACTGCCATCTACCGGGCACTGTTATTATTTTAGTTTCGCTAGTGGTGACGGCAACAGTAGTAGCAGCAGCACTTTTTTTTCTGGCCAGAGGGGGGCACTGCATTCCTACATTGAAACTATTTTTTTTGAGATTTCCAGCTGTTGGGTAACAGTGCTGGAAAGGATCCACTTAGTAATACAATAAAAGCAAAGACTATATACATAGAGCCCCATGCCCCTTATTTAGGGACGGAGTGCAAATATATTGTGTACTGTCTTTGTTCGGCTAAAATATTTAACATATATGAATACATTGCCCAGCTAATAACATACACTGGGTATTAAGAATAACTATGGCAGTGCTTATGGTGTCTTTTGCAGTGAATCTGTCTACAAGCGCCCACTTACTTAAGCTTTCTATTGTAAAACAGAAATATAATCATCTACACACAGGCGGCTTGTAAAAGATGGAATGACTAATGGTATGTCAGTGTGGAAAACACTATGCAGCAAATGGTATGTCAGTGTGGAAAACACTATGCAGCAAAATTATTTATATGGGAGACAGTGCCAACTAAATGTCTCTCCTATAACTTGCAGTGTAGATTTTATGTGGATGATTTATTACTACAAAGGATTCAAACAATATTCAATGTTCAAAGTAAAACAAAATGATTAAAGATATAAGGTATTACAGATCAGATTATGCCTTCAGAATTCGAAAATGGTATTCAGTGAAAATATAAATAATTACCCACGACTAAAAGACTTTAATAATACATTTAAAACTCAGAAATATACTGATGAAATTTTCATTCTTTACTCTTATTGAAAGATGCCCTTAGGGGTGTCATGGTGGTGCAGTGGTGCAGTGGTACAGTAGTGCAGTGCTTAGCACTGCTGCCTCACACCTCTGAGACCGGTGTTCACCATGGCTCCATGTGGAGTTTGCATGTTCTCCTCGTGTTGTCATGGAGTTTCCTTTGGCTACTCCAGTTAGCCCCCAACCCCAGTCCAAAAACATGCCGAGGTTAATTAGTTAGCAAATTGCCCATAGGTGTGAATGGTGTGTGAGTGCCCTAGGATGAGTTGGCACCCCATCCTGCGTGATTCCTTGCCTTGTATCTATTGTTTCTCAGATAGGCTCTGGACCCCCCACAACCCTACACAGAACAAGAGAAAAAACAGACAACAATGGAAAATGTACATCTATACATTGTTGTAATACACTGATTTGTACAGAAGGGGGCAGTGTTTCAATGCAATTGTTTTTTCTTTTAATCACTGAACTTCCAGTCCTGCAACACTAACCAGGATAACCAGTTACAATATGGATGGATGAATGAAATTGCAAACACAGGGATGACATTCACACTCACAGTCAGGCTGCTGCGGCCCATGCCACTCAGGGCACTGGGGGCCACTTGGAATCGTTCATACGTTCCCCATCACCCCCCAGGATGTCCCATCTGAGGTGATTGACTCGGGGTGGAGAGCGGCTCAGCACCTTAAGCCTCTGCGCTTGTGATTGGAAGATCACCGGTTCGAACCCTGGCTGCAACAGAACAGTCACATATCCATGGGCTCTAGGGCAAGGCCTGTAGCGCCCTCCCCCCCCCACTGCATGTTGGCTGACCTTGCTGGAACTTAATGATCGGAGAGCAAAATGGGGTAAGCAAAGAGAAGAATTCCAATGTACTTGTGCAAATGGAAAATAAAGCACTTACCATTATTGACATTCCCTTACCCTATGCCCAGGACAGGACTCCAGGCTGGATTCCGCAGAGGGGAAAAGACACTGGTTGGTTGATCTAATCTCAAGCTTGGCCACCTCCTGCACAAACCAGTGCAGGATAAGTGGGTGGAAGGTGGATGGATGAGCCAAAAGCATGCGGCGATATCTTCCTTTATGAAAATCCCCCCATTGATCCGTTTTCCCAACCCACTTATCAAATTCCGATATTCACTTTTGCATATTTTATATACATTTTCCTGAAAGGGGCCCCCGCCTTGTGTGCCAGTGAAAGGATCCCCAGCCAAGCCCCCCAGCCTCAGATGAGGGGGGTATTTATTACTGTTACAGTCAGAACAAACTTGCAAGACTAAAATTCTTTTGCTTCAATCTTTTCCTTTATTGAAAACATTTTGTGTATGTTTATCCTTCGATAGCAGGATGTAAGCAAGCACTTTTAACATATAAAATATAATATAACATATAAGACATATTAATATGAATTAAACTCTTATACTGGCAGGGAAAAAAGCACTAAAGCTCATCAGTTAGGGTGTTGCAAACAAAATCACTAATATCATATTAAACTTTATTAATATTATTATTATTATTACTATACAGAGAGGGCAAAAAATCAAGCTAAAGTGCAAAATAAAACATTCAAACAAACACATATAGGAAGGATGGTAGTGATTTAAAAGAAAAAAGAAAACAAAAAAACAATGCTTTTGTCTGTGCTGACTAAAACTGGTCAGCACTGTCTTTTCATAAAGCAGACAACACTACATATGTGATTTAGGTGTGTGATGCCATGACAGAATGTTCTACAATGCCACTGCGGAAGCTGATTTATGGATACAGATCTCGTGATGTAATTGCTTGATTGAGAGACAGCATGGCTTAAAGTGAGACACCTTTTACCTGGGTTATTATACGGCTTTTTATTGCAGTTAAAATGGACCAAAAAAGAGATTTAAAAGACCCAGAAATTCATAAAACGCCATTCAGAAGGAAGCAAGACTCTTGAAATTGCCAAATATGATCATCCCACAAGCAAATGCTTTATTTGTGATAGTTAACAGGGTCAGAAAGAAAAATGTGATGAGAAGAAAAGCCTGAAATGAACTTTAATTTGAGGATGAGGAACAATTACGCTTACAGCCTCCAAGGAGCCCTTAGCTTCCAGTACTGGCATCTTCGAGAATTGCAGCCTTCCTGGAATCAGTCAGAGCACAAGGAAAACACTGAGGTATCGCTAAGGTCAGGGGGGCTGAGACACAAGCCCATTAAATGAGATACACAAGCAGAAGCCTGAGAAAAACTGTACGTCCGGCAGCAGAAAGGTGAGGGGTAGAGTATTGGTAGGGAGGAGTAATGAAGTGGGCTGCTATTATCAACCATAAGCTGATCTGACCTTTTAAAATTGCTTTTAGGCTAAAATTGGACTTGAAAAATAACGCATGTTTCAGGAAGACACTTTCTTCAAGAGGAAAAAGTTTGCAGCATTCAGGAATACGTGACGTTTATGCGGACATAGCTGCTCGGCAGGTCAGCAATGTCTGAATGACGACCGCAGAATGACTCGGAGCCGCTGCTCACTTGAGAACTCGCGGGCCCTTCTGACGTGTTAGATTTAGGGTAAGGGAAAACAGCACACACCCGAGCAGCACCTAGGAGGCCGGGGTCGACCGCTTCCGCTGAAATCGGATAAATAAAAAAATATATCGGATAATATATCGGATAAATAAAAAATAAAGAAACTGAGAGAGTCCATGGATGTGAGGCTGTAAGTGACTGAACAGAATATTTTATACTTGTTATTTTATAATGTACTTCCTTATTCTTAGGCTCTAAACTGAGTTGAGAAAAATAATCCGGTTGCCTAATAATTGTTTGCTAAATAAAATGTTCAACAATAAAAGTATCATCCTCAGAAAAATCATTTGCCTGATAATTATACACAATATACATTCAAACAGCTCCCCCTTAAGGTCCTGCAGGTTATGACATCCTGTCTACCAGAGTAGTACAGTATCATTGTTGAGTTGTTGTGGTGTCTCTGGTTAGTGCTCTCACTGTATGCTTCCAGGACTGTGGGTTCAAATACCACTGACTCTGTCAGTGGAGCTTGGGTTTTATCTGTGTGGGTTTCCTCTATCTTTAAAGACATGTTTAGGTGGATTAGTGTCTATACATTGCTTGTAGTGTGCCCAGTGATGGCTTGCTGTATTGTCTCCTGTCCTCTATGTCCTGTGATGGACTAAACACTTTGTGATCCTGCATTGGACGTGTACGCTTTGAAATAAAAACAAATATGAAGAAATTAATATCGTACAACATAATTTCATAATCTCCCCATGACCCTGTACTAAATAAGTGGTTGGAACAAGGATGGATTTATTTTACTAATACACGTAATATAACTTACTCAGCCTACATTAACTTTGACATTAGATAGAGTACCGTGGTTATTTAGGTGTAGGTGGGAATTGGATTGAATCGAAGACATAGCAGAAAGCCCTTCCTCCTGCTTGGACCGCCATGAAGGCGCCGCGCCGCCGCAGGCTCACGCAGAAGGCCGGCCGTGGGGCGCCGCTAGAGGTCCCTGTCATTTGCGCCGCCTGCTCTCTGCATGGCTCACACACTCCAGTCTTCCCTTTTCTTTCTCCCATGACAGCGGGGTTGTCGTCAATCCTCGATTGAAATCAAGCAACAAAAAAAAACAGCTAAATATTTACTGGAGGCCTGCAGATTCGATGCTATCTGGAGGACCAGCGCTCCCAATGCGGCATCTCGCTGTCGCCTTCGCCCCGATCGCCGCGGCGGGCCAGCTAGAACATCGTACTAGCTAGTTATCCAGCTAATCGGGCTGCAGATGCATTTCACGCACCGATGACTAGCCAGTAACCCCGGCGCGTATGGGCTATTGTTAGCCGACCAGCTAACGTTAACCCAGGCTGTTGTGATCGAGGGTAGTCAGTCGCTAACCAGTTAGTCGCCCTGCCTAGCTGTGCAGCTAGCGGTAGGTGGGGAAGGATG